ACTATCAAAACTGGTTCAAAGCCCTGCTCCTTGCTTGTACTGTGGCCTAGAGATTACATCTCAAAGCTATGATAATGCTTCCAGTTAATTCTGCAAATTCATTCAAACTCGCACTCTGGAAATGAACCAAACGTTTAAAAGCAATCCACTTTAGACCCTCAGCATGCAGTCAATGTCCACAGGGTTTGCAAAACACAGCAAAAAAATTATATTGATACAATGGGCAAGACTCTTGTCCTCAGATACAAGAGAGAAAAAGATGACATTAATTACATCCCTGAATGTCCATGAGGTATTCCTTCAGTGGTATGGTATTACTGCTTCTGCTCTCCTGAGTGGGGCCTTTACGCCAGCTCAACCAAGAGATGAATCCAAGGAAATTAATTAATCCTTCTTGCTATATAAAGCYTTCCTCTTTCTTTGGGGCAGAGCTGTCTCCCGGTCTTCATTCCTACAGGAGCAGTACCACCCACTTTCCTGACTCCTGGCACATTCCGCTGCATAAGGACCATGTTTCTGCATTGATCCAGCAAAAACTGATCCAGCATGTACCAGGCCCATCCATGACTTCAGTCACACCACGTAACAGAAGAACTAAGCTTGCCAGCACTAATAATTGTGCCATATTCAGGTAGACATAATATAAGCAGATACTGGTGCATAAGAYTTCTGCATAGTCTGCAGAAAGGAAGAAACCCTGCTTGAATTTAAGGAGGGGCAGTGATAAGTTCTTAAGGCTAAACTAATCCATGTCACTGTGAGCCAGTTGGCACTTTCCCTACTCACCCAAGACAAACAAGGAACCACCTCTGCCCTCTGTAGAATACATGGGTTTAGAAGCCACACAGTGTCCACAGAGACCAGTGCTACCCTGAATGCATGAACTCCCACAACTCACATGTCACAGTTTCTCTGAGCAGGGCCCTCCGAGGGCCACAAGGTTCCAAGAGGGGAATCTGAGTCACTGCTGCTGCTGTATGAAGCCATCTCTTATTTTAATGCTCCTGCTCTCAGATGACATCTCTTCAATGGGTGTTGGTGATTCACTGACAAGGAAATGCTCCTGTGACTTTTCCCTCAAGAACTACCATCAGAACAAAGTAGTCTGAAATCCAGCTGTGATGCATTGCAAGATCTAGCAGCTGAGCTAGAGACCAAAAAACCAGAACATCCTTGATGGCTCCTTCTAACAATAAACGTTGCTGAATGTTCTAGTTAAAATGATCAAGATGTTTAAAGACTGCTTTAACATTTTTAGTAATAAGTTTAAAAAATATTTCAAAAGCTGAGGAAAACAAGAAACAAAAATAAGAGATAATGATTAAATAACAAGTTTCTGACAGCATCTGGATGTCTGAATTTTTGCCTCCATTCACAATTGAAATCATATTTGACTGTGTTGCAGGTGCCAAGCTGTAGCACCCCACTAACTTACCACTCCTATTGCTCTTCACTCTTTCAGGGTAAGGTTTGCTCTCCTCTTGATGCCCATGAGCTCCTCTCACTAACATTAATGGCAGGCAGACATGCTCATCAGTGGGAAAATTAAAAGGAATGTTTAGCTGTTACTGAGAATTAAGCTTCAGKAGGAAGTCAGTCTGCCTTACAAGTGACAAGATGCAATTTTAAAGACTGCTATAAAGAAGACAGTTCCCCCCCACCCCCCACCACCCAGAAAAGTGTCATAATACAATTCTAAGTTCAATGAAAGSGTGTTCTGTTAGTTTCAGGTTGGAACAGCTCAGGTCAAAAGGCCTCCCCTCAAACCTCATTCCCTGATCTTACCCCAGACTTTTTGTTAGAATTGGGATGTGTAAGAGTGATCTGTACTCAATTCCTATATGCAAATGTCCCCCTCAAAAAAGTTCTCTTCTCCTAGTCTGCTATATTAAAATTGATGGTTTGTATTTCAGAAATCTTTGGGAGTTGGACAGGTCACAGAAATTTTGCACCACTGCCTTAAAGTACAGAGTCCCTGATCTCTAAGGTGCAGTGACTGCCACAGGCAGCTTCTCAGGGCCCTGGGRAGTTTGAAGGAGTGAGTCACTGGGAAGAACAGAGAACAAATCAAAAACATAAACACAAATTTTAGACAACAAAAAATGGGTTCAAAGGTACTGATGCTGACCTGGCATCTGCCATCAAGAKTCATTGCAAAAATTCACCAGTAAAAGTATTTCCTACAGTAAATGCTGTAAGACCTGTTTTCAGCTCAAATATTTTCTAAATTGTTAACAATGTCCAGCTCCTCTAAAAGCAGACACATTCATTCAAAACTCTCCCCAAACTTCCAAATCTAATTATGAATGAGCTTAGAGGACTTTAATTTAGAAATTGTGTCATATTTCTCCCATAGTACAGCTTACACCTTGCCTTGCTTCTGCCTTTGYAGTCAGACCTCACAGTGTGGATGTCTCACATCCTGAGCACAAGGCAGYAGCAAGGGGACCATTTGCATCTTTCCAGCACTTCCCTCGTTCCCTGTGCCCCCTGGCTGAACAGGAGCAGCAGGATGGCTCTGCTGCCTTCCTGCCTCCATGGATGTGGGAGACAGCCATGTCCTGCAGGCACTGCACAGMCTCTCCTCCTTCGGTGCAGCGATTTCATGCTTGGCTGTCCTGCCCTTCACAACCTTGCCCTTAACAGAAAGGAACTGACCAACTTTTTCACGTTTATAATCCTTTAAGACAGCCTATGTGAAATGTTCTAAATACTAAACCAAACAGATCATACACAGAAAGGGTGCAATACTTTCAAGAATAGAACCTGCAAGAACGTCACTGTTCTACAATTATTTAAGGCTACACTGACAGGAAACAGATTCAATTCAAGATCTGCAATCTCTACRTGGTTTGCTGGCACACAGAACAGTAGTTAATTTGATACATTTTTCAAGTACTTACTGTACTTTTGAACAAAGGCAAACAACAAAAAGCTATGAAAAAAAAAACACAGCCAACTCTAGGGATAATACAAGAGCCTCTAATTTGTTACTGATACTTTGTTCTTCAGCAATTCTGTTCCTTGCTTAAGACCTAACTGAATGTWCAAAACCACACTGTGTGTGCAAGCCCTTATGTAGGATTTAAAAAAAACCCACAATAGCTAAAGGCAGATTTCAAATACAAAAGTATAGATTTTCATAAGCAATAATAAAAACAAAATTACAAACAAATCAAATAATAAGAATGGGTTCTAGGAAGAAAAAAACAACATGACAGCTATTGGTACTATAATTAACTCACAAAAATACCAAGGCGAATCCAATTATTGGTGTGACTGGTTTTGCACAGCAAATCCATATTCAATTGCCTCAAAATTAAACATTCATTTCCATCTTTATATATTCAGTTCCTAGCTTTGTACAGCATAAATCCAAGTAAACCAATCCTTCTTCTGTGATGCACAGACTGGTCCAGGATACTTTAAGGAAAGTCCTACAGAGAGATTCCTCTTCCCAAATGAGCCCAACACAGACTACAACAAATCTCTGCTGTGCCAAAATTRAGATTTCAGTGCCTTAGAAACCTAAATGGTAAGAAGCAAAGCTGAAGTAATGCAACCCACAAACAGAAACCCAAGCCTTGACACTGTTTAGTTTGGTTCTGTAAGAGGTTACTTCTTCATTTGTTCARTGATGATGTTAAGTACGTTCTCCACAGGAATTACCTGACCCAGTTCTTGCTGTTCAATATTGTACATTATTTTAAATAGCAAAACCTGTACAAAGAGACAACCATCAAAAGACAATTTTCAGCATTAGGAAAAAGCATCTAAATATCCACAAACAGAATAGATAAAACCACTTCCACACCCAATAAAAAACTGCTTTTCAACAGCTTCTATGTCATTGCTTCTATTACACAGAAAGCTGAAAGGATTGTGAAAATCTGAGCATTCTCCTTACACATATAAAATTAATGTTGGTTTTGTATTAATTTCTACACTCAACATTACATTTCACAAACYGGACTAACAAAAAGGACTGAGAGAGATAACCTGCATTGTATTACAGCAAGACCATTCCTGTTTAAAGAAAGTTTTTGCATTATTTGTATTTAGTAAATAAAGCTTCTGTAAATGAAGCAGCAGCACAATATCAGGAGAAAAAAAAAAAAAAACACCCAAAAGGCCTGTAATAATGTTTGAATCTTTAAATCAAAACTGAAAGCCTGGCTCTGCAAATAAATCCCTCAAAAGACACCAAATAAACCAAGATGTGGAATTACAAAATCCTTTAAAAGTAACTTCATGAAATTATTAAGTATGTGAGAATTTGAGAACCATGTGAAATCTTTATAACAGCATACTCACCATCACCAGTCTCACTGTGCTTGGCTTTCTGTGTACCCCAAAGCCAGGATTTTTCAAAGGCATTATAAAGTAATTCAAGAGGAGCACATCTGTCCTAATGAGAACACTTTAGACTAACACCAATTGTCTCAAYAAATTCCAATACTTTTCTACCCACCAAGTGCTACAACAGTCAGTGWGGTCTCATATTAATAAGACATCACCATCATTTATAAGAAAAAATTAATTGCTTGCTTTCTATACAGCAACAATTAAAAATAAACAAAGCTTGTAATTACCGGCAAAAAGAATATTTGAATTGAGAGGCTTTTAAAAAATACGTTTACTCAGTAATGCACAATTTCAGTAATATGAATTAGATTCAGCAGTCAATAAATTAGTGTGAGTCCAGCTAAAGYTTTGGGGACAAATAGGAATCTCAGAAGCACTGATATTTCCATAATTTCAGTGGATGCCGTGAGTGTTCATCTGATGGCAAACTTTCTTATGATACTGCAGCCTCGCAACTGCATCATTAGAAAGCTGTTTCCCAACCTGAACATAATTCTATTTTGTGTGTGAACATTCATTCAACTGCTGGCAAATCACTAGAAAAATAACTTACTGATGTTCTCATCTTCAAGAAGAAAGGTAAAAACTCCTGGTCTGCTCTCTCCTTCCAACACACAGCATATAGTAATTCCTAAATGGATACCTGTTTCAAGCAAAGCCATAATATTTTGCATTCATCCAGAGTAGTTCAACTGCTGCCACTTCCTTCACAGTCTTTCAAYCTAACTTCCAACTGCTGAAATTTTAAAGAAACCTGTATCAATTTATTTAATGAAAATATATTTTAGTAAAGTCGTGCTCTATGAGCTTCCTACATTGGAATACATGAATACAGGAAGTGCTTTCAACAGAAAGTTACATAGTTTTACAGTACAACCTGTCTAAGGAGTTTTGGAAGGGACCAAACTAATGATCTGGTCTCTTTGGATTAGGCAGAAGTACAGGCAAGAGGGAAAACCTCAATTTTTGCCATATATAGAGCTCGTTTCTGTCACAGATTGAAGAAACATTAGATTGGTGTCAAAGTTCACCTGATGCCCAAATGCTAGTATTTTTCAAACCAACTGCATATCAAAAAATGAAAACTTACTTTACTAAGCTCCTGGAAAGAAACTCAGTGCAAAACAACAGTATATTTCTATTTGCTATATTTTTAAGTGTTCTTTCACCGGTGGTGGGTTTTGTTTTTTTTTTTTTTTGCTTTTGCTTTACAGACCATTAACTTTTTCTCAAAGTGCAAACTATTGACCTTTAATCTGAATGCAAGCAGGTCAGAAACTACAGTATTAAAGCAATACAAAAAGTACACAAGAAGGAGCTTACATTAATTTGGAGAACCTTGCACAAAATGTTTCTGAATTGAAAACCACAAAACAAACCCAAACAAATACAGCATCAGGTGGATGGGGAAGGGACCGCTATYGTATCTGTGCACAGCAAGACTTCTCCGATGCCAAGGAAGTTCATGACACGAAGTGAAGATTCTATATTCAATCCCACCATTTTGCATGTTGTGCATCCTTTATGATGGAATGTTGACTGCAATTTCCGTTTTTCACTCCCACAACAAATCTGTTGAGTGYGACCAGGGAAGATCATCTTCCTGGGAGAACAAACTCCCTTAGAACCACGACTGCAGTTTCTACCATCCATTATGACTCCAGTAAAGTATGCCATCTACAGACTTGCTGTCCTTTAGATTCCTTCATTTCAGTCCAGTGATTCAGTTCATCTTCTCCTGAGCTGTTGAGACCTAAGGAAATCCACCCTATCATCTCTTTTCGCTTCATGCTGCGCTTATTATACACAGACAGTATGAGCGTCACGTCCGAGAGCTGGAACAGGGCCACCTGGAAAACGAAGGTTTCCTTGTACACGGGATTCGGCTGCCCTCGGCGGATTGAAGTTTTGCATTTGGACATCTCCTGCCCCATCGAGTTCAGCAGAGTTAACTTAACATATGTATCTACAAAAGAAATCACATTTTGGAATGTCAGGTATCTTGGAATGGAAGTTTTGGAGAMTGAGGTATTGACAAGGAACAAGGATATGGTGTATACCGGGATGGCTGAACACAGCTCAGTTTAGAYACACGCAAAGACGACAAGTAAACAAAATATTACAAACACACTAACAAATGAACTAACTCCAGTACTGTGTACGTGGGTYAAGTTAAAGGTATACCGCATAATCCTCTTCCCATTGAACCCCCCCTTCTTTAGTCTAAACAAATTTAAATTGCATTAACACTTAGCAAGCTCCAACTAGCCACAACACTGTAAAGCATACCACTGAAATTTCAAAAGAACATGGATAAATGARGTGGAATAAAGGCAATTAATGAAGAGAAAAAAAAATAATGTCAATATGCAGCRATGATATCAGAACAGCCAGGATAAAATGTTTAAGAATAATCTCTGCATGGATGTGGTTCTCACTTCAGGCTTTTTAATTCTATTTATTTTGAAAACTAAAGTATAGCAAAATGCATTCAAAGATGGAAGTTTACACAACAAAAAAAAAAAACAAAACCAAAACTATGAATTCCTAGATTCATGAAGGAATACATTTACTGCATGTTTAAAAAAAACCCAAGTTTTTATCATTCAAAGTGATTGTTTAAAATGTAGCTTAAGCAGTACACTTAAAAARCTGGTGCAAGCAAAGTAGTTAGCACATATCATGTGTTAGCACTTGGGTATAAACCCTTATTTTCAACAAAATGGAACAAAAGCACCAAAACATCCTCCTGCAGAAGGATGTGCATTTCATGAACTAATTACAGGAAATACAAACTTGTATAAAACAACCTCGCATTTCATTTTTATTCCTGTCTTATTCATGTTAATGGATAATATTAATTAAAGATTGGAGTTTATGTTAATAGAAACACACTGAGTATTTTCWCTTTGCTGGTACACTGAAACCCCAACATCCATAATCAGAGATAAATGCAACTTTTGTATTAGAGAGTGCCACAGAAAAGAAACATATACTTTTATAAATGGGTATGGAAGGCAGCCATAGATTTTTACTGCTGGCAAGTTTTCTTTTGCATGAAAAAGACAACATTGAATTAGTTTCTACAGAAACTCACCTCGGATTATATAAACCTGTCCACCTATCAAGTGTTTTAGACAACAGAACAGTCCGTCTGACAACAGGGGGTGGAAGGCAGTAAAAGAAATAATGACCAGATGTCAATAGTTGGGTGAGAGAGGTTCAAAGGTTAAAGTCTAAGAGGAAACACTATTCACTGAACATGAAACCTGAGCAGCATAGATCAGAAAAAGGACTGAACAAAAGGACTGTTAGGCAAAATTAATTGAAATGAAAATTTTGTGCAGTTTTTGTGTAATCTTAAACAAAARTTACATTGCTTACATAATGGGTTATCTTAGGACTAATAGACACTGGGTTCTAAACCACACTCAACATAGCAAGAGTCATGCAAATTATTAAGTTATACCAGATTGGGCAAAAATCACTGTATCCTTATCAAACCTTATGCTTTTTCATGCAAACTCCAGCATATTTAGAAAAACTGCACATAGGAATTAAACTTCTTATATTAAAAGCAATAAAATGAAAAATCATTGAATTGAAAACCAAAACTGGTTTTGCCCTTAGCTTTTATAGTTACTGATATTTGATTGTAATACTTCAGTTCTTGASTAGTAATAAACTTAGGCACAAGAATGACTCTGATGTAATCTCTAAAAATAGGTGAGGAACACATATCTGAAATTCAGCAATGGGTCTCTATTTAGAATGTAAAGATCTCGCTTATTAAAATCCACATATTTATGGATTTAATGTGTGTGTGCATGCATACACGCACATGAATTTAATATGCAAAAGCTCATRCCCTGTTTCAACTAAACTTCAAGGAATACTGAGAAGCATCTTCCTCTCAGACAAAATATTAACTGTCACACAGAGAAACAAARAAGACACATCGACTGTTACTGTCCTGTGGACTTGGCCTATTTGCCTGTACTCAGTTGCTAAATGAGTTACTATGGAACATATAAATATGTAGCAGAGGGGYATGTACTAGCAAGAAGTAGAAATTTAGTATTCAGTTCATATTTGCTACAGAAGCACTTGACAAAAATTCATAGGTTCACAAGCCCTAGACTACAGAAATGAGGGAAAGAGTARTTGCTTCCATTTTTACCACAGTTTCTTAATACATGAATGAAAACCAAACTGCTTGTGTACTTTGCAGCACTTCTCAGGATTTTGGACCACTGATAGTCTGAACAACAAATGTGACCAGGATACTTCATCATAATCATCATCATCCCTACAGGCCTTAGCTTTCATTCTGTGAAAATGATRGCACAGATCGAGGCTGGCAGATGTCCCTGATGTATTCAACTGTGATTTAGGACATGGCAGTGGCACAGACTTTTAAAAGAAGGTGTCACCACTGCTGGGGTGAGGGGAGAAGGATAGCACAAAACAGCACAAAGGGAAAATCTGGAATCCACAAGATTCTGTGCATGGTTTTACCAGACCCAGAAAGAGCATTAGTTTCCAGATTTCTAGAAAAAACTCCAAACCCACGTTTTTCTAAACAGAACTGCACTATTGCTTTTATGAATTTCAAATCTTCCCTTTATCCTTCACAGGGGATTACAAAAGGTAGCATGGAAGAYCTTCCTTCCAAAAAAGGTTAGTCAGAACATGGTTTTACAGGGCTACATGCCATGTTCTATGCTCCTTTCTTGCAATCTGAAACAGATTTTTGACCTCAGTGACACACACAACTGTTATCCACACAGCAGGGACTCACTGAGAATATTTTGGGAATTAAGACACTAGGAAATGAACCTCTCTGTTTTCAAAGCAAGTACTGAAGCCCTCCTAACTTGCATATTCTAAATATTAAATAAAAACTGGCTATCTCTGAGATTTCAGAAAGATAAGCATCTGGTTTTGATTTAAGGGAASACATGGCCTCTCCCTTTCATTTCTTCCCCTACCCCAGTGTCCTTGGACTTCTTTGGCTTTCCTCATGTCTTTCTATACTTTGTCTCCAAATAGGTGACTCTGGGGCAAGCTACTTAATTACATAARAGTATTAGAGATTCATCTATCACCTTCATTCTCTGGCCATGTTAAAGAAGTCTGGCTCCATCAGTGTGAAAAGTATAGACAAAGCAAAGCAGAGTAAGGTGGGACAATCAATGAATAGAATAAACATGGATCAGGAAAGTGAGAAAGAGGAGAGAGCATCAGTATCAAGTCTGGTTTGCTTCCTAAACTCTGAAGACAAAGTGAGACATKCAAACCACTTGCAAAATGTCAGCAGCCTAATACATAATCCAGATGTAGCAGATACAGATACTGTAGATACTCTGCTAGTGTCATACTAATCTGGGGTTTAAAAAACAGAAAGAGTGGCTAAAACCTCAGCCTCCAGAACAAAATCAAAAGGATCAGGTAGGTATTTCTGATTAACACTTACGTAAATCAGACTTACTGTCTTAAAAAACAACCAAAATATATTTTTAAGCAATTTGTTACTGAACTTTCTMAAGTTATGTCAAAGACCTAGAGACAGTAATAATATTCTCTCAGTGTGACATTCCATCTGGCTCCAGTTAAGAAGCATATAAAGTTCACAGTTATTTCAGACAAACGTATTTTTGAACAAATGCTTGAACATACAACTCAAGTCCTTTCTGATGGTGAACATTCTTTCTGTACAGTAAATATGCCAAAGGTCTCAAGTGGTTGCTCCTTGTCTTCACTGACATTCCCAAGTTACACACATTACCACACATATAGAGGCACATAAGCAATTAAAGACTGCAGTATCAACCCCTCTAGGAACAGCAATAACTGTTCAGAATGTTTATATTAATATTAACTGGCATGTACTTTCTCTTTAAACACTGACTTTTTATTCTTGGCCTGTGATGTGAGGCATTAGTAATTTAGCAATTAATCATTGTGATAAAGATAATTTATTAGTCAGTCATCATGAAAAATTAAAACAGGCTTGTCAACTTACAATTAATATTTTGAATTTTAGATTTTTGCTATTTCCCAACTGACTAGAAATATAAAACATGAAACAGATTAGCTGATGATTGCTCTATTTCATTTTGATTGGGTAAGACTAAGTGATAGGATTGAAGTCCTTGCTACCGAGAGCCCCACCAGTACAGAAGCATTAGGATGAAAAAAGATTTTCACTCACTGGGTGGTCTGTTCGCTGCCAAGTTTTTGAAGTGGCTGCCTTTTATCACTTCTGCTGATAATCTTCCAGTCGTAGCATTATACAGGAGGCCAACGAGGATTTCTGGAGCTGAGCCATGTACCAGAGACTGACAAGAGGAGGTACTTTCRCTGCAGGACACATCTGACATGCTCAGTTGAGAGTCACAACCCTGTAAAACAGATAAAAAGTTCTATGTGTTTTATGGATCGATGTTACTGGGAAGCTAATTTTTAGAATAATGCACCGAAAATTCTGAAAGCAACTTACTGACAATAACAGAGATTCCATTTAATCACCCAATAAGAAATGTACATTCTTAATATATACTTAATTGGCACATGTTAGAGGTAACAATAAAGTGGTCTGAAATTAAAACAATTCTTATGCATTTCTGCTGCTTCATGATACAGGAGAAATAAAAGCAGAAAATGAAGAACAGCCTTTATGGTCCCCATTTACTTCAATAGTTAAGGTAAGACCTGTAACATAATTTGTCAGCATCCTGGAAAACATTAAACCTTGGATCTTTTACTTTCCAAAWATGGAGTACACCAGTGGAACCACGAAAATAATAAAATGCAGAAAATTCTTATTCATCCTTTCTAAAGGTTATTCTCTAGACTGAGAAYTCATGAGTAGCAAAATAACAGAACACATGCAAATAGAAAAATGCACTCTGCCTAGAATAAATTAGCCTATAAGGAATTTAATTGATCCAGGGATACAGAACTGCAATAGTCCCTTTGTCTTGGGTGGGTGTTGTGGGTTTAAACCCATTTTTCCCAGCCAACRCACCAAAAATGTCGTGGTTTGAAGTTGACTGAAAGCCAAAGCACCCACGACGTTCCCCACCAGAGAGGCAGAAGGGAGAGCAGAAGCCCAGTTAACACTAAAATTTATGGCTTTTAGATAAGGTAACATAATAGAGAGAAAGATACATATATGCTCCAGAAAATGGTCAGACAGGCTGAATAACTTAAGTTGCAAAATAGATTTATTACTAAAAACTACTAAGAATACTACCACACCGGGGAGGGGAGCAGAGGTAGGGAAAAAGAGAAGGAAAAAACCGGACATTTTAAGACACCTGTTATCCTTTCTGGGAACCTGTCTCTCTCAGGTTGTCCCTCCCCACCCCTCCATGCCTTCCCACGTGCAAGGAGTGCAGGGAATGAACGTTTTAACATAGATCAAACTACTCATAATGGTTATCATCCAGCACCATAGAAGAAGAGTTCTTACAGCTCTAAGCTGTGGAAGTTCKTTTCCAAAGAAACAGTCAGTGTATAACTGCTGATGGCATGGGATTCTTTTTCTTTATGTCGTGTGAAAAGGAAAACAGTCCTCCAAGGCCGGCTGCTTTTTCTCAGAGTAAGGTTACTCTCTCAAATCTCCTAGCAGAACACAGTTTATCCTATGCATCAATTCGCTTCAGATGAGGGGGGAGCGGGGGGCAGGGGGAGTGGGGGCACCTCTTCCCCGCAGAACACAATTTTTTCTAAGCGTCAACTCGCTTCTGACGTGAGGGGGGTCCATGCCTCTTCCCCTTTTTTGGCTTATGATCAGTGCAGTCCTCAAAGGCCAAGTTTTTTATCTCGGATGCAGGGCCCCACTTTTCTATACAGGTCTCCCATTGAAGAAATAGTCTTTTTGAGAACAGCTTTTTTTCTCCATGTTTGAGCACCACAGCAACAGCACCTGTCTTCTTACTGTGATCTTGGGTCTCCATTTTGTATTCTTTACATCTCCTCACCCTCCTCCTCTGTCCTCCCCTGGTGCAAGGGGATGATAATACTAACAACCTAAAACTAAATGGCAGCCACGCTCTATCTTGTTTCGAATTCTTCTTAAGTACAAGACCATACGTCATCACAGAGGTGTAACTAGCGTGTRCAATTAGCCCAGGCCTGACTAACAGCCACTCCATCAACCTCASAGYCAYAATGGATTGGYTMTGAAACACMRRGGGSMRGGSYYCYT